ATTTTTGAGTTATAACCGATTTATGGCAGAACGAATGTTTGTTTTGAAATTTTCCGATCTGCAATTTCCGGACCAAAATGTCACATGATCTTCAACATCAGCCAAAATCAGCATATAGTACCGTTAACGCTTATGAGCGCTATTTAGAATAATGGCCCGAATTAAGCTTAATTTGGGCCAAATTTTGAAATTATCCCCCCTGTGCGTTATTTCGCGAGAATACTGTATACTGTATAAAATATATTTGCTAGATATTTATCTCGTTGCTTTGTAGCAACAGGTTTGCTGCTAGTTAAATTATAAAAAGTTCGTTAAACCCAATTTTTTTTTTTAATTTTATCAAAATTTTGTAATATTTAGTGTTGACCAGACCAATTTGACCGGTGTCAATTTGACCAGTTTGACAATTTGACCAGACCAATTTGACACCAAACACTGAGTTAAAAGTAGATCAAGCACAATAATTTAAGCCAAATTTGTCTGTTAAAATTGACGGGTTTAAAAGATAATTCGTAATTAAGATAAAACGAAGATTTTTTTAAAATAATCAAATAATAATGTAGAATTATTAATTTGAAAATACTATTAAATTCATTATTAAAGTATATTTATCTTTATATTAGAATGAAAAAAAGAATAAATTTGGTTTGCTGTCACCAATTTTAAATTTTAACTTTTAAATTTGTAGTACGAAGCCGCTAATACTATTGGCCAGATAAGTGATACGTAGATGACTTTATAATTTTCAACAATACGTTAAAAACTTTTTATTCTGCAGTGATGGCCAAAAGCAAGAAATCGATTTTTGCCATCTCAAGCGTGGCTGACTCTTCCCTGGATGTATTTCAATATCAGAGAGGTGAGAATGTACTTTGCTATCACGGACCCATTACGTATCCTGCACAGGTAATTCTCGCTGTTCCATAATAAAAAGAATCGCCAAATATGCGAGCCTTGTAGTGGCTTTAAATAATAAAGTATTGAATATTTTACATAACTCGGTTTTTAAAAGGTGTATTCCCAACACTTAGATCTATTTGTATATATACTTTACAACAGATTTTGGATTTGAGAATTATCTACGAAAACGAGGGTGGTGATGTAGGACCACAATATCGAATACATTACAAAGGATGGAATAAAAAGTAAGCAAGACGTTTTATTTGTAATATAAAATACATAACAGGTCATTTTAAGTAACATTGGATATTTGATAGATGGGATGAATGGGTTTCTGAGTCGAGAATACTTAAGATGACAGAAGAAAACATTGCTGCTACAACAAAGATAAAGCATATTCAAACTGCTCCTCCGACTAGTTCATCGTCAGTTTTTGTACAAATTGAGTCAATGGATGAGACGTTATTACCCGAAGCTACACAAAATGAGCAAAATTCAAATGCATCAAATTTCAAAAATCGAATGTTAAAACGTACCGTTGATCAAGGACAAGCAATAACAAGTACATCTGCTAAAAATGCGGTTTGTTCAATTTCGATTAAGTATAATTAATTTATTTTTTTAATTATAAAATAATCTTTGATCATAATTCGTATTATGTTTATATAGAAAAGAGCAAAAAAATGCAAGATTTCTGTTGATATTACGGATGAAGGAATGCTCCGACTTGTTGATGAATGGCAATGGAACACTAAAAATCAACTAGTAAGTAAAAAGTCAATATTTATTCACAATAATTCTATCTTTAATAATTAATTTAACATTTCGAATATCAACGCACGTAGCTTATTCATCCTATGCCACGACCCAAGACGGTTAATGATATTTTAGAAGAATTTTTTGATTTCAAAATGGAGAAGCTTAAAGAACAAAGTAAAACGTCTATAGGTAGAAATCGAGGTCGTATAACTAAATCACAAGAATTAGCAGCGAGGGATGTAACAAATGGCATTAAACAATACTTTAATGAAGCTCTTCCGATATGTCTACTTTATCGATTTGAGCGTCAACAATATGTCGAAATGACGGAACAATATCCGAAAAAGGAAATGTCATCTATTTATGGCGTTGAACATTTGATGCGCCTTGTCGGTGTGTTATATGTCATTTTACTCGTATTTGTAGAATGAAATTAATTTATAAACTAATATATTATTATTATTATTTTAACAAGTCAAAATCCCAGATTTGGTTCATGCAGTACAAATGAAAGAACAAAAAGCAGAAAGCTTAGAGCAAATATTTAACGAATTAGCAGGGTAAAATTTTTATAATTAATAATATAATACTTATAATACTTATAATATATTCATATATTTATTTTAATAATTATAATTATCTCAAGGTTTTTGGAAAATAATTGTAAAGAACATTTCGCGAAACAATTTGAATTCGCATCAGCACCATATATAAGGGTCATTTGGGAGTATTGATGGCTTCATTAGAACAAAAAAAATATTACTTAAAGGGATAATTACTGATATAGACTAATTGATTTATTTTGATTAATCTTTGTTGGGTAGGTAAATGAATTAATATTATTTGCACAAACAGTTTAAATATGTTTCATTATTTTATTACTAATTTTAAATCGGATTAAATAGAAAACTAAAGATTCAAAAAAAAAAAAAAAAAAAAGAAAAAAAAAAAAAAAACAAAAAAAAGATTCATTTCGCATAATGCTTTTATTTTAATTCAAATGTGAACATTTATAAGCGGATGAATCGATATTATTAACGGGTCGAATTTTTTAAAATTTGCGTATGATATTTGCAAGATTCTACAAAAAATAATATCTATATATAATGAAATTCTAATAATACACGGGGGTTAAACGTTGGTTAACACGTTCTTTCTCTTAATTTGTAAATTTTTGAAGCAAATAATAAAATTTCAGTTTAATAAAACCAAGGATTTTTATTTTCTATTGTCAGACGAGTACAGGATACACAGATCGATGATTTTCCGCGGTAATATTTATTATTATATACAGTATATATATATATTAATATATTATTAAAATAAATATTACCATAGAAAATCATTGGCTGCGGTTTGGGGTTTTAAGATTCAGAAATTCAGAAATTATTTTCCTATTTAGTCGAGCTTTCCAGTACACAAAGTGTTTAACACATGGACTTTATTTCACTGTATCACGTGAATAGCGTACAATTATGCTGTGAGATAAATTTTCATGCAAAATGGCGTACTGCACTTCGATATTGGGAATATTATGAATAAAGCTTCCATCAAAGTATATGTAAATTCCTTTTCGGATTTTGATTGCTTTTCCTATCTAACGCGACAAGCGAGAATCACCAATAAAGATAACAAGATTCGCGTCTTGTAATTTCATATGATATGTAAATATTTGTATGTTTATGTCGCATATTACCGAAAAAAATAGCACGTAATATTCTAAAAGATACTTTAGCAACATAAGATATTTCAGTATTTAATACTTTAGCAACATAAGATATTTCAGTATTTAATATACACATTTGTGGAATTTAAAGATGGGACGATAATTATACAGTATCTCGCCATTCGCTCTTGTTTTTAATATAGGTTCAAAATTAACTTAACTCAATACGTAGTAATCTTTGATCATCGGATAACGCACCTGACTTTTTACCACATAAACCACATAAATTTGAGAAACAACGGTTTTTTCATTCACAATAGGCTTACGTCTTGGAAATTTATGTCCGAGTGCTGACCACCTTTTTTACATTGTCCTTTTTGGGTCGCACAACCATGGCGAATCATATTAGCAGTAACTCAATTTCGGGTTATGTACTACGACAAATCATAAAGGCAAAGGGATTGTGTCCCACGACAAATCATAACGGCAGGAGTACAATAATGATAATAGATAGTGTAACTATCTGAAAGATCTGCTAAAAAAATCATTGTTCAAGAAAATGCCGTAAAAGACACTCTAAGCCTTTCCCTTAATCTTCATACACGAAAATAACTCCACAAACATTCTGTAATACAAATAGAAAAAAATATCCTCGTGAAAAAATATGTACTGATAAAGTTTTCATTCAAGTTACATGTGCATTGGCGATTATGTATAAATATGACGTCGAATTTATTCTTTATACTAAATACGCGAAAAAGCCCAGTCTGTGATCCTTAATATTCTTTACTGTAAATTTAGCATTAACATTGTTTATAAATTACTTTTGAATCTGTTTCATTTATTTCTTTATGTCGCTTTTAATCTTTTTCGTCTGAGCTGTAAATTCTTAATTTTTAAAAAAAAAATTTTTATTGTTAAATAAATTAAGTATCGAAATGCAAACGAAAACTTTAAAAAAAATACTTGTGCTCCTACTTGCTTGGATATTTTTCCCACTAGTGACTGTCGTAGTTCGTACGTCCTCGAACATTTTTTTTTTTTTTTATAAATAACATTAATAATGTTAAGAAAACTTTTACACCTAACTCCATGACTTTATCATATACATTTAGTTTTTGCGTATATAACTTGCTGGGTCTTCTATCTTTCATGTGGTATATAAAATTTTTTGGTTAAAAAAAAAAAACAGGTTTAAATCAAAATAAATCAATTTTTATTAATGTTGATTAACATTCCATTTTAGCCCAAACTGACGCACCACCATCACAGTCGAAAGTTCCGTTAAGCCCTAAACGGGTTTTCAAAGTATCTTCATACCTGCTTAGTTGCTTGTATGAAAATTTAACCGGTCCATTCATTCCATCGATTCTTCAGTATGGTTGGCACAAGTTATCTAGTCAAAGAAAGAAGATATCTGTCAAGTACTTTACCTTTTACTCCCTAAAATCTCTCTAAAATCTCTCTATAATCAAACTTTGTGTTTTAACTCGTTATTCATTATTTTTTTCATAATCAAATCATCAGAAAAAACATTAAATATAGTCCAAGGAATCGCCTTGACATATACTTTCCTGATCGGATTCCCACAACCACTTTCAGGAATAGTCAAGTTTTTTCCGATAATGTGCCTTTCTTTATGCAATCTGGAAATGTAAACGTGACCAGTACTTCTCATGAATCCCCCGTTATCATTTTCATTAGTAGTTCTTGGAATTCTGGTGAGTAGTTCTGGTGAATTTACTAATTTGTCTTCCAGCATCACGTGACCAAGTATAATTAAATAATTATATTTATTCGTTACTTCATAGGAAGCAAAGCAACTTGTATGCCAGTAGCTAATAATTTACAAAGCCAGGGTTATATTGTTGTAGTTCCTGACATCACACTTTATCCAAAAGTATATATCTATTAAAAATTTTTTTGACAAAGTTTGAAGTCAACAATATAATCAAATATACTCATTGTTATTTTTTGATCTTGTATTTAAAGGGAAAAATTACAGAAATGATTTCTGATGTTCAACAGTGCATTCAGTGGACGTATAATCATATTAGGTACTGTTTTATTTTTCTATTGGCAAGATAATCCAGAATATTGTATCTATATAACTTATGTTAACTTATTTTAGGCAATTCCGTGGTGATCCTTCACAGATCTATCTTATGGGTCATTCCGCCGGGGCGCTCTTGTCTTCTTTAACTGTGATTCACGATGTTTGTGCCACTTTGCATGCACTTCCGATTAACACAACTGATGTGAAGATTCCTGTTTGTGGCCATACAAATGGAAGGACTGGATTACCTAGAATTCAAGGGCTAATCTTGTAATTAGTTATTATGTAGTTCATGTTTTAATTTTACCGAGTTTGTATCAATCTTTATCAATCTGATCTTTATAATACCTTTTAGATTCTCGGGTGTTTATGATACGACTTATCACTACGCATATTTACATCAACGAGGTACGCGAGCTTTCGGTTAAATCATAATCGTGGTGCTGCGACCAATCGAAAAATAATGCGTTTTTGAATGAATTTGCCTCGTAGGTCTCGAACAAGTTCATGCTATGCCCCGAGTAATGGGTAAATTTCTAACCATTATTAAATCTTTTTCCTTGTAACGATTCTATACTGATTTAACTTGATATAAACAGGAAATACATCAGAATCTCTACTTCAATGCTCACCTACTTATTTACTCAATCATGCTCTCAATAATTCACAAAATCGCGATCAGCTTAGGGCATTGTTACCTCGAAAAATTTTTCTGATACATGGAGATAAGGTAAAGTATTGTTAATAATGGTTGAATAATGGTTGAATTGAATATGAATGATTATATATACATTCTACGTGTAATTGATGGATTTTTTTCTAAAAGGATTCGTTTCACCCTCCAACATCTACTCGTAACTTTTTCACCCTACTGGATTCTGTTGGTATACCTTCAGTGCAACTTAAAATTTATGAAGATCTTAAACATATTAGTCCTTGCATTGATCTAATCGTACCAACAAAAAGGTTATGTGTGCTTCTATTAGAGGATATTAGAGAATGTTGTCAAAATGTTAGACCAGTTATGATGGGAGGAAATTTGAGCGAAAGACAGGCAGAAGGTGAAGAGGATGATCATTCTAATCGTAATCGTAGTCGAGGTAGAACACGAAGGAGGATGGCTTTAACTCGATATACCTTATAGACATAATTATACATATTGATTATGAAATTAATGTAATTAATTTATAGATATATACACTGTACTCAATCCGTAATTACAATCTTTTAGAAAGAATCATTTTAATATTTTATAGATTGAATACTTTAAATGTAGTTATATTTGTATATGCATAAACTGTATTTTAGATTATTAGATTAAATAAAATATTTGCACGCATTAATAATTTTTTGTAACTTGCTATCTTTAGTTAATCAAAATGTTAAATATATAAATTGATTATAAATATAAAGATTTATATTAAAATTAACAATCATTAGAATATACATTAATTATGATAATATCTATATATATACCGTTCAGACATCACTATCATCTACTTTACAGTCGAAAAAGACCAAAGATAATCACGCATTTATTCTACTTTTATTTTCTTAATAAATATCAGTTATATCAGTGTTTAAAATTCAATGTTCTAATGATTCTCAATTTAAAATAAAGCTCTCTTATATGAAACCATTTTATTCTTCAATTTTATTGAGAACAATAATTATATAATGGTTTAATTATGATATTATTGCTATATATTATATAAAAATTTATATAGTGTACTTTGTAATACTGTATATATAATTAATTATTTATTATAATAAATAATAATATCTAATATATTAATATATATAATATATAAAATATAAAATCATGATCATTATTATTAAAATATTAAATAATGAAAATTAATTTTAAACACTGGTTACATTTTAGGATTCTATAAATTGTAAAAGAATTCCAACTTTAAACAAATACAATCACCGAAATCGTTGAGAATTACGAAGAAGGATCTCATCATAATCTAATTCGTCTCCCCATTATTTCAATATCTAGATACTTTTAATAATTTCTAACCACCAAAACTATCAACTGAATTCGATGATGGCATACTGCCTTCAGAAAAAACCGAACCTTCAAAAACTAAAAACTTAAAAGGTCTTTGTGAATCTTTTGAATTTTCAAATTGAATTGTATGAAATGCTTTATTATTCTTTGTGTTAAAAATGTAAATTTAATGCTTCAATTCAATTTATGAAGATATAAAAATTATCTGATATTATATATGATGAGGTCATTTAAAACATTATCAAGTGTTTCTTCGGTAAATACAGGTTGCCCATCCTGAAATGCACCTTTTGCCTTTATACATTCTATTCCTAATTTTTCGATTTCTGCTACGTCAACTTTCACCTGTGAATTATCCAAGTAAATTAGATGGGTTATATAATGCTTCACAGGATATTCTTTGGGCCAGAACCCATCAAATCTCAATGAAGAATTACACCCATCCACAATAGCCTTTATGAAATCTAAAGCAGTGAATTGATCAGTTTCGCGATCATTTGAGCCATTGAGAATCAGAATCTTGTTTTTCAATGTGGTAGACTCGGCTATTGCTTTGCCAACTCCACGTAGGATTAGGCAAGGCATAATGGACGTATATAAAGAGCCGATGGAATATATGAGCGTTGATTTCGTTGAAAGACTATTAAACACTTTTGAATTTACAAAAGGGAATATTTCTTGCCCATATTCATTAATGTAATATATCCGGTGAATTCGACGATTCAATGAGGTTACGTTGGATTTATCGAAAATAAGATTGCTTTTCGAAACTGTATTTATAGAATTAAAAGTTTCAGTAGGTAAATTTAAATGATCAACATCTGGAGGTGAATTTTGAGGTTTTTGGGATGGATGCGAAATTTCACATTGACCAGTTATTATGTTTCCATTATCAAGTTCTGCCGCAATAGCCACAGTATGATTAGTATTAATTATTGGGATCACTTTCGTCGAAGACTCGCTAATTCCCGTTATTGCTGCAAATATAAAAATTGCACTCTCTAACGATCCACAAAAAATTCGTGCTCCAGTAAGAAAGAAATTGCCAATACTACCATTGCGAAAGTCAAATTTCTTGTGTGCTCGCCTTAGAATTTCTAATTGAAAGTGTACTAAAAATCCACGTATAGCTCCTTTTTTTTCAGGAGAGATACCCTGCCAAAGTCTTGAAACAGATCAAATATCAGATATACACATGCCTTTCAACTGTTCTATGTAAAATGAAATAAATACATAAAACAACATACTTATGAGTGCCTTCAACCACTTCCAACCATTCATTCTTTATGTCTGTATCATTTCCTTCAACAGGTAACCGATAACTGAATAAGTTTTTTACAGCTGCTTTTTCGTGATCTCCTTTCTTGACTTTAATTAGTCTAACTAATCTACTTCTAATATCCCCAATCCCTGGTCCACCAATAACACGTAATATTTCGCTAGTTGAGCCACCATTATCACTCAAACCGAGTACATAACTTATGTCTGTAGTAATGTCTTGTAGGACATTAACCTTTGAAGATCAAATTATATAAATATATACCAATTCTAAACAAAACTTTTTTATAATAATAGACAAATACTTACCATTAAATTGCATGCAGTTCCACCAGAAAATACTACCAGAGATGGCATAAGCGAGTCAGAAACTGAAGTAACATTTTCTGATATGAATGGTGTTGATTCTGTCATTTTTGCCAAAAAACCAAAGTATTTTCATTGTTGCTTTATATGACGGGTGAGAGTGATTCACAGATTATGGAGTATGTGTCCGATGGTAGGTAACTCGTAATCAATTAGTACTATATTATGTAATTCATCACCTCTTATAGATAACGCAGAGTTACGTAAAGAACGGATACCTTTTTTAGTAATTTAGTACTATCTTCAAAGTTGTTAATGTAGTATTCCATTTTGATAATACTACTATTAAAATGGAATTGTGAATAGGAATAGATTAGTCATTTTAGACGTGGCAGAAAATTCACTTTTACGTGATAGATGATTATTTCCGATTACATTTTGATTGTAAACATGTAAAATTTGATATTTTGCAAAAGATTCTCGTTATTGTTATCTATGTTAATTTTTTTTTATTTTAATTTTACAAAATCCCAAACACTAACCAAATCCCATCCAAATTCCAAACTCCGGTCAAATCCCAAATCTCAAGCCTGTATTATCGCGAAATAACACCCGCACACTATTTAGAGTATGCACATAGGCGTTACTTTGAAACAAAAACCAATTTCTAAAAAACTTGATTTTTAAACTAACATTAATATGTGTTATGTTGTGCCTTAGATCAAGTGTATAATCGGCATTCAAAAACAAAACCAGAATTTAGATTGGCTAATATATATTTTTTTATCAATTTATTATATTTAAGTTAATTTAACTTTATTAAACTTAATAAAAACTTTTTATATAATTGAAAAAGGTTTTATATTTTAAGCTTAGTATTAAGAATAAAAGGTCAAACATATCTTAGTAAATCTAGAGAATTACTTTAAACCTTGGCTCAAGTTTTATATCCAATGTACATATAGTGTTTGGCAAAACCCTGGCTGCTTCTTCAAAAATGCCCAAGTCTGGTTATTACACTGATATTTGCCAACAGAAACTCACATATAGCGCTACTTGTATTCAAAAAACTACTTTAGTATAGTACTCAGCTACTATATTAGAACTATATCTATTTACTTCTAATTTTTTTTTCTTTCTAAAAATAGCTAATAGCTTAAAGTAAGAGAGGGGATTTTAAACAAAACAAATAAGAAAATGATCAGAAAATTGAAAAAAAAAGAACAAAAAAAATAAACCAGACCAAAATTCTAATAACACTAATAATACCTATGCCAAGCCTAAAAAATTATATACTATGCATAAAGCTAATTAAGTTTTAACCTATAATATATGTGAACTTATTCTTTTCTAAAACTTTTATTTTTTCCAGAAACAGCTACCAATAGTGTTTCTAATAAACCTAAGTTCAAAGTTCATAAACATGTTCAAAGTTTAAAATAAAGAAGAAAGCATATAATTACAAATATAAAAATACTTATATCTCGTAATCTACTAGGTTGATTTTAATGTTCCAAAATATTCCTTTACATAGAGTTTGGACCCGGATATCTGTTTATCTGTTTATTAGTATCCTTTTTATAAAAGTTGTATCCGGATAATTGCCAGTTTTTAATTTACAGATAACCGGATAAACTTACAAATAACTGGATAACCCTTGCGGATACCAAATAATCCTACAGATATCCGGATAACTAGGTAACTTACGGATATCATTAGAACAGATAAGCGTGGTTCAATAGGTTCAAAAAATTTAATTAGTAGTAAGATAATTAAATAATTAATGTATAATCAGAACATAAATAAAGTATAGCATACATATATGTGAATTACGGGTATTTAAAGTTGCAACACATAAATTAGTTACTGTTTTACATATATATTGAGAATTTGACACAATTTTCTGTGAATCGGCTATACGTATGGCATTAGAGATGGGCATTACTATTAACCAAAAATTTTTACGTACATACGTATTTGGGTGATAAATCAAATAAGTAATTAAAACTATGTCAGGCATATTAGTAATTTTACTATGATCAGATTTTTATCAGTAAAGTTAAAATGATCGGTCGAACGATTTTATATAATTTTATTATATTGATTGATCGATTACTTAACAATATGTGCCGCAACTAATTGATATAAATAACACATCATTGATTTTTTCATTATTACGTATCAGAGGTCCCACCACTATAGGGATAAAAAAAATATTTTTATTACTTTGCCCATTAGTGAATTATCTATCGTTGATACACTCAAGAATATTACTTCTCGCATAGTTTAATATAGCAATAAATTCATGATGCTCTTAAGCACCAACTTCGATATTATTAAAATATAATCTTAATAGATATTTACATAAATTTTTGTTGAAAATTCGAATATACAATTTATGGCATAATTAAAATCTTCTCAAGCATCATTTTCAATGATGATTAGTGGGTGCTATAATAGAAAATTTTATAAATGAAAATTTAAAATCTTAGAAATTTAAAAATTTAAAGTAACTCATAAAGCATTTTACACTTTAGTAAACTATGCAGTCTTATATCTCAAATATAACATGATGATACTGAAGTACAATATTGGCAGCTTTTAAACCTAGACAATACTTTTTGATTGTTGTAAAATTTTGCATGACAATAATATGATTAATGGTTAATTGCTACAGATATATCAAAAACAAAAAGGCCTTTGAATTAGTATGTATAGACTTTTTTTTGAGATTAAGTTTTATTATTGAGACAAGATTCTTATATCGGTTCTATCAAGTTTTTGTATTTGGAAATACACCTCCAGTAACTTGTCAATTATTTTTTAAAAACACTAGATGCTCAAAAGTAGAAGGTAAAAGTAATGTTCTTTTCTCTGTCATTGTATTCCCAGCATTACTAAAAGTCTTTCACTTGCGGTCGAAGTTGCTGGGATAGCCAAGTATTTTCGAGCCAACTTACTTAATACAGAGAACCGCTTTTAATTAGTGCACCACCAGGTTAGAGGACATTGATTCTATTGAAGTTCTTGAGTTCCAAGATAATCCGAAACTTCTAACCGTGGGCATCTATTATGGAACATCGAAGCTAATAAAGAATTAGAATGGTTTTGTTGACTATTATTTTCTTCTATTCTATATAGAATACATGACTCTTTATATTTGGTTTTAAGCAATTCATATATTTCATTTTTTAGAGATTCTGACATAAAAGAAAGAGGCTTGTACCAAGGATCCAAAAGCGCTGCCAGCATGGTTTCATCACTAGGCACATTCCAATAATGTGACATAGCATCATATAATGCTGATTTTATTTTTTCATCAAGATCTTTACAATTTTGCGGATTATTAATCTTAATTCGGCGCTGCTTTTCATTTGATACATAGTCTTGTACTCCTTCATCTTCATCTTCATCATAAACAACATCATCCTCAAAAGCATCATTAGAAGATTCAAAATCTGTATCTGAAGTCATAAAAGAAAGAAGCCCTTGCTCAATTACAGTAATCGCACCATACATAAAACTAATCATAGCATATTTGCTACCCTCTAATAATTTTGTCGTTTTGGCAAAAGACCTTAAAATTATAGTTAACAATGATATAGCATTCCATTCATCATTTGTTAGATTAATTTTTTCCAGGTAAATACCATCTTTCTGATTTTGCGAGTCACTATCTAGCATTAAATTGGCTATTATAATACTAATGATGCCCCGAATTTGTAAAAGTCATTGCCAAGTGAGGTAAGATGAATTCCACCTCGTAGGAACATTTGCAATAATTCACAATTGATGATCATTATTTTTTAGGTACTAATTTATAAATAAATTTATATATGCCATATGTTAGATTAAAGTTAACATTTGAGAGCTTTATTATCAATTTTTTTTTTTAATATTGAGGTGACCACTTAGGCTCCTGGCACTTTATTAGTTCAAATGGGTAGGCCGTCCAAAGACTGGCTTACATATTACATTAGTATAACGAGAGTACAACTAGTCACACGTACAACTTTTGGTTGCCTATTTAAG